TAATAAAAGACCTCTTGGAACAATGCTGCCTCAGTAGTTTAGATTTCAGCTGCAATGTGGCTTCAATAAATATTTTTCAACACTATAGTGGAGGAGTAAACTGAGACATCTTGTTTATGCCACACTCAGGCCGTCTGGATGTGATTACTTTTTAATAAAACCAAAGCCGAAGCTGCATCATAAACACAGATTGAAGGCTAAACTACATGGGTGCTTTTAATATTTTTAACCGCTTGTTGGCAAACACATTGAAGATAAGTTGTAAATGTGGAGCCTGTCAGAATGTGGTTTAATCACTCAAATCTGCAAGTTTAAATTGTCTGCAAACTTTCTGTATATTTTGGTGCACATAGAGCCGTCTAACAAAAGGGGCTGAAATCTCGGGACCTGTTGCTGGAGTGTTTATTGGAAGATCATGAATGGGACACACAGACTCGGATAAAAGAACAGGGAGAGGGAGAGAGAAAAGAAAGAAACTTGACATAGAGGACACTTTGATCTCTTGATCCAGCCACTGCTGCAGGGCAGGTTTTTGAAGATTGTTGGGAATACAGAAAAGACCTCAGGACTTGAGTTGACTTAGGACAGCCTTATAATATAGTGTAAATACTAGAAGATTAGTCCAGTTCAGAGGAGAGAGCTGCTCTGAGGAATCGAAGGGCAAGGAGGAGGATGGGTTTACCAGCTTAAAACGTATCCAAACCCAAAAACAAAAATTGAATATATTGTTGTTTATCAGTTCTTAGATGAGCTGGCAAACACTACAGCTTTGTTTAAACACTTCAGCTCTGAAAAATTTTATCACCTTCATGACCAGGCAATTTTTTGCTATAAAGCACTGTGCTACTTTAACTGGTAATTGCGCAGTCATGCAACACTGTAGCCAAACAAAATTGATATAATTTTGTTTCACACAAATAGAGCTTTATTTTGTTGGTGTTTGATCACCATTGGGTTTTTTTTTTTTTGCAATATAAAAAAAAAAAAGCCTGAAAAGTTTGAAAAAAAACCTATATTTTTTACTTTCTGCTATAAAACATATGCCTCGTGTATCGCACTGTATTGTTATAGTACTGTCTCCTGTATTGTCCCCCATTGTAATGTACAGCGCTGAGCGAACTGTTGGCGCTATATAAATACTGTATTATATAATAATAATATTAAAAACATTTTAAAAAAATCTAATTTCTTTATAAATGTTGGCCAAAATCTATTCTTTTGCATGTCTTTGATTAAAAAAAAAATCCCAATAAGTGTATGTTGATCAGGTTTGTGTGAAAGTTATAATACCTACTATGGTATATGTACTGGAATTTTTAATTTTTTTTATACTCCAAATGGGGGTGATCAGTGACTTATAATGGGAATCTAAGAGTGTGATGGGCAATCTGACACTAACTGCCGCTGACATCACCAGTGACATTAATACAGTGATCAGTGATATCATAATGACAGTGATAATGATAATGACACTGTACTAATGACACTGGCTGGGAAAGGATTAACATCTAGTCTGATCAAGGGGTTAAATGTGTGCTTAACTATGTATAAGGTGTGTAAAGTGTGCTGCTTTTTTTTAAAGCGATCTCTACGTTTCTCATCTGATAGATCGTTCCCTATGTACAGAGTTCTGTGTTATTTACAAACACAGAGCTCTGGGCTGTGATTGTACACAGACGATCAGCAGGTCCCGGCCACGAATCATTGGCTGGGACTTGCTGATAGGCTCCCGCTGTGTACAATCACAGCAGATGATGCGCAGGGGGGGGTCACACGAAACCCCAAAGTAGGCAGCAATGTACCCAGTGGCATCCCGAGGCAGGTGCGGGGGGTGCGGATCCATTATGCTCAATCCGCAGATCCAATCCATTCTGCGGGGGATCGTCGGAGGGGGTGTCACCAAGTGTTAGCGCACCGGGTGACACCTACCCTAGGGACGCCCCTGAATGTACCTATACATCGCTTTGCCTATAGCAGCCACCCGTCCGCAGTACATTGCAGGCATGGTACAGTGGTTAAAGCAGAGCAAAAAAAAAAATTTAGAAGGCAGAGTGTTTTTGGTAGAAGAGACTTTCCATGTCTCTTCTGCCAAAAATACCCTTTCATGTGTATCCTCTTTTTATGTAGCCTACACAGCCAGCATGACATGGTCAGTGTACACTCCCAGCCCACTCCCGTCACCTGCAAGATGCTGCCCCTCTGCCAAGTGATCCTCATCCTCCCCTCCTATTTTAACCCTCTGAAGGCTGCACCAGTGTCCTCACGTATTGCACACACTTGCAGGGTGGATTCAGGCAACTACTGCCTGACAAATGCAGTGGGGGGTTTAATTTTTGAGGAGCCCATGAAGCAAAGCATTGCAGCCGCAGCATGTGTACAGCCCGGAGCAGGTGGTTTGGATGGCATAGCAGTAAAACACACACGAACATAAGAATGAGAAGAAATATATTTTTTTAGAATAGTGTTTTTCTTTAACTCGTTCACCTCTACAGCAAATGCAGCAAATGTTTTCATTTTTTGCACACATCATTTTTGGCAATAAAATTACTTAGACCCTCAAAACATGATATATTTTCTGAAAGCAGAAGTCCTGTAGAATAGAACGATGATAGTTGCAAATTTATATGTCATATGATATTTGGGCAATTGGTTAATAAATGAAATTTTCAGGAAAAATATAAAAAAGTTGATTTTAGTGTAAACACACACAATATAATATCCATTTGGTAATATATAAAAGTAAGGTTTTGCTGAGTAAATAGATACCAAACATGCCAATTCTTAAAATTGTGTGCACCCGTGATATCACATAAAACTACAGTAACCAAAAATCTCCATAGGTGATGCTTTAAAAGCCTTTACAGCTCATCGTTTTAGAGTTATTTAGGAGCTCTTGTGCTAGAATTATTGCTCTCACTCTGATTTTCAAGGTGATAGATACATCACCATATGTTGCAACTGCGGTTTACATAAACGTGTGCACACTGGGCATGTGTTTGTGCGTGTGTGCGGGGCAATAGTAGTTACAGCTATTTTTTTTAAATACGTTTTATAATCATTTTGCTTTTTTAAACTGTTTTTTTTTGTTGATTTATTTTTTCTTGATTGCTATCACAAAGCGTTAAAAAAAACCCTATTTGATAGCATTAGGCAGGTGACAGGTTCTCTTTTTGGAGACATTAGGTGTCTAAAAGACCCCAATGTCTCCCCTGCCCTTCACACCAGGTAGTACATCCAATGAGCTGAACGAGTTAAAAAACAGGATTTTTGATTGCACATGCTTAGATGATTGAACTGAATGCAGCTTCATCTCATTCACTTAGCTAAGTGAATATTTCCTACTCCTTTATTAAATCAACCTCTCAACTTAAAACGTTCAGAATGAAAACATTTGTTTCATTTCGATTCAATAATTAACTAATTTCATTTAGTTAAATTTTTGGGTGGAATTTGTTTAGTTTAGTTTTGTTTATTTTGTTTTCAAATTCAATTTGACCGAATACGTAAAATACGAATCAGCATTCAAATTCAATGTTTTTTCGATTCAAATGTGGCTGCTGAATTTTTACTTCTAAAAATTGCAATATGTGTACATTTCATATTCGTTTCCAAATTTGAGTCAAATTTGAGTTTTGTTGCTTTGAACCAATTTTTTTTCGTTATTTCGGAGGATTCATCTTCATTCATTACTATTGTGATTCGGAATTTGGAAACATCTGAATTTCCAAATAATAAAAAATGTATCCGCATTTCGATTCAGAATGAAATGAATTGCACATGTCTTCTCTCAACTTCTACATATCTAAGTTGCAGATGAATCCTGCTGCAATATATTAAAGCACTGTTTGTTGTGCTATTAAAATCATATTGTCTTCCAGTAAAACAAAATAGTCTAAACTAAGGGTCCTCTCACACGGGCATTCCGTTTTTTTTCTTCAGTTCAGTCACATTTTTTCAAAGAAAAAACGGATGAGTTTACATCCTTTTTTCATCCGTTTACATCCATTTTTACATCTGTTTTTTAATCCATTGTTCATTTGTTTACATAGGTTTACATCAGTTTTTTCATCCATTGTTCATCCGTTTACATCGGTTTTTTTCATCCATTGTTCATCCGTTTACATCTATTTTTGGTCCATTTACATACGTTTACATCTATTGACATCCGTTTTTTGTCTGTTTTGGGTTTTTTTTGCGGATGAAAAATAGGGTTTTCTTACATTAAAAAAAAACCGGATGTTAACAGATGCTGACATTAACGAATGTAAAAAGATGTTCATCTGTTTACATCCGCATATCCATAGAAATACATTGGGGTCCATTTTTCATCTGTAAATGGACAGATGAAAAATGGACATATGGAACGCCCGTGTGAAAGGGGCCTAAACCTAGCCATAAACTGCTTGGATTGACTTTTGTTGAAGGAACCTGGAGGAACATTGGTGCCTGCACAGTGGCAGCATCCTATAAGATGCAGCCACTGTTGAGGTATTCAGCGTCCACGGGTCCCACTGACTACTGAATACAATAGCTGGTAGAGGTGATTCCTTCATCCATGCTGTTTGGCATGATTTATTGCTTCACTTAGGATGCAAGAAAGATTTTATATATACACTAAATTGTGTATATTTTGAGTATTTGGCTAGTCACTTTGATCCACAAAAAGAGAAAAGAAACCGGGTTGATTTACTAATGAAACTGATGCTGTTCACTTAGCAAAGCCAATGTGCACTGAGCTTAGTAAATAAGATGAAACTGTATTTATTTCAATCAACCAATTCAAAGTGAACACATTGACTTTGCTAAGTGAACAGCTTCTGCTTACTTAGTAAATCATTCATCTTGTAAACATACAGTATATACAGTAGTTAAGTCACAGTATACATAGGGTCCCACTTGTCCAAACCTCCTGTGATCGTTACAGAAAACATGATTATCTCTGCAATAAATATCACACATTCTTACCAGTTCCAAAATAGCGTGGATTAGAGAACAGAGGTTTAGCTAGAGGCAAAAAACACTTCTTGCTGTGCCAAAGGAGAGCAAACAGATAGATCCTCCTCAGGAATCGAGTCAGTTGATAACAGTTTATAATATTCATCTTCTCTGTCTAGAACTTTGACTTGGCTGAAACAGACAGATGCAACATACATTACACAATACACTAAATAATAAACTAGGCGTCTCCAATTTGTACGGCATATTAGGTGTCTTTGACTGGAGTGGCAAAAACACAACACATTTTGTTAGTGGAGATGAAAGAAAAAAAGCAGAAAAAATATAATTGATTAACATGTTATATAGTTAAAGGAATAATACTAGCTCACCTGACCCTGCTTTATTGGGAAAGATCATCTATAGGGTGTATTTAAAGTGTTACTAAACCCCGGACCCTGCATTCACTATATCTGGTCTCCCACAGTACACACAACATGGAAATGCAATTATTTTAGTTACTATAAACTGCTAAATACCTCATCAGCAGTTGGAGCAGTCTTGTGACTTCAGCAGAGCACTGGTTAAAGTTTGTAGCAGGAGTTTTCTTTCTGCTCTAGGAGGATGTAAATCCCCTGACCTCTGTCTGGACAGTGCTGATTGGCCCTGTGCTGATCACGTGCACTCTCCCAAGAAAGAAAAAAAATCTCTCTATCAATACACACTAAACTGAGCATGTGCATGTGGCTAGGGGTTCAGTCTGTCTTATCAGGTGGACATTTGAACAAGAGAAGGATCAGAGAAGACAGGATCAAACAGCATTTTTACACAATGCAGAGGATCAACCCCATAGGTTCATCAGTGAGTATAACAAGCATGCTTTACTGCATATACAGATTGATTGCACTGTTGTGGGTTCAGTAACACTTTAATGTGCGGAATTAAACTCCGCATTTTTTTTTTTAATGGGCATGTACGGCTCACAGTACATTAATGCTGGCAGGCAGGGAGAAGCTATTATGACAGAAGAGACCAATTGAGTCTTCTTCATAAAAATCCTACTTGTCAGTGTTTTATTTAGGTTTGATTACACTTTAAAGCAGTATTAAACCCAGAACTAAAAAAAAGTATTTTATTGCAGCTCACAGATTATTAGATGTGGTGGTTAGTTTTCTTTTTTCGACTTTTATTTCCACTAGATGATCCAGCCAGTAGGTCTGTTATATAACTTCCTATAATAGCCCAAGCTGTCCAACAAAAGTGTCAGAGGGTTGGGACAAACCATTTACAGTCCCTGCAGCCTCCTCTCCCCTATACTCCAGCAGCCTAAGGTCCTGACATCATCAAGACTAAAGCAGGGTCCTTGTCCCTGCATTGGACGTGATCCCAAGAGACAGTCCACCACCAGAGCATTGTGGAGTACCATCTGCCGGGGGAGCAGAGGATTAAGTAAACTGAAATTGTTTCTCTTCTCCGCTAGACAAAATTAGCTATTAACCCGTGCAGTGTGGGTACAGCCCTGCCGCAATAGATCATTTTTTCAGTTGCCTGGAGTTCGGCTTTAAGGATTAAGATGCATTATATACATTTTTTACATTACTAATTACATTATTAATTGTAACACATTTTAAATATGAAAATAAATAATATGCCATACCTAGCATATTTGACACCCGTTCCATGTTTTTACACTCTACTACTCTGTAAAACAACATTTTTAGCAATGATCTTGAAATCAAATTAAAGCAAGAGAATAAAATGCAGCCAGCACAATTGTGATGTCCCCTGAAAGCTGCTCCCTGGCAGGGGTGGACTGACCATTTGGAAACTCGGGCACCGCCCGAGGGCCCGGGGTCAGTAGGGTGCCCCATGAGATGCCCCAGGTACTTTTTTCATAGGCTTTTTTGAGTTTGGGCAAGGACACAGGGGCCCCATGATCCCCTATTGCCCGGGGGCCCCATGAGTTGTCAGTCCACCCCTGCTCCCTGGAATTAGTGGTCAGTGTAGGTAAGAGATCAATTTGCCATGGCCCATTGCTCAAGGAACCTTTGGCAAACACAGAAGGGGCATTGGTTGAGAAAGACTGGGATAGGCCCTTTATCAGGTTTTTATTGCTGTCTGTGTTTGAGATTCACCCCTCTATTTGATCACTGAACATTGTCATCAAATCAGAAAGTGGGGGGAAAAAAACCTATATTTGAAAGTTATCGCTACAGCAAGATGTGTGGAAAAGTCCTCTAATGGAGCAAAGCTGGCTATATACTAGTAGAATTTAATTCAAAAATTTTCATTTTAAGAATGTTCGTTCACTTTTCTAATCATTAGCGGGGTCAAATCAACATTCAACATCAACCGCAGTGAGGAGAAAAAGGAACAGGATGGAAATTTTTTCTCAAATGAAATAATTTTTAACATTGTATGCAGTTTTTGTTTGGTCGAAGTCCATTCATTCTGAAATTGAATGTTAAAGGAAAACAAAATTTTGATGTGCTTTCAAACAGCATTCGCCAAACGATCGAATGTACTGAGAATTTTCGTACAAATGCCCGTACAAACGTTCACTGAAAAATCTACTAATGTATGGCCAGCTTAAGATAGCAATGCTGTTGACTTTGGAGAGATTTCCTCTTGTGTCTTGCCGAGTCTTCGGGACTATAAATGAAGAGAATTTTTGTTAGTGGGACACAGGAAACAAAAAATAACCTGATATGGGATATAACCTTTCTCTATCCTATTGATAAACTGAAAAAAAGAGCTTTGGATTTACATATACAATAGCCAGTTGACCTTCGGAAGGTTTTACCCCCTTCATGGCAATTGTGTGCCTAACAAGTGTACTATGTGTAATTTTTGCTGCCTTTATTAACAGATCTGGCTGCTTTTCCTCCCTGCTTTGCAGATTGCTGATCTGTGTACAGAGCCCTGTGTATAACATAATATAAGCCCTACACTATATAATCCCATTGCACAATCTCCCCCAGATCCACCAACACCATACTTTATGAAAATAGATCCAAACACACCAGTCCATCAGTGGTAGACCCATGATATAGTATAGAAATGTTTCATACCTACAGCAGGTATCCCCTGCAGGTGACAAATGTACTGTAGTTGTGTTTTGGATAGTCTGCGGATATAAAATTCTTTGGCAACTTCTTAGGCTGCACATGTAATGCCCTCCAAGTTAGCCAGATAGGCTGTTTGTTGTTTTATTCTTGTAGACAGAGGCTGATAGCAGCCTGGATGGCCAAATCCCCTGAGAGGAGGCTGGGCATGGTGACCAGGGCAACCCTCAAATGTGGCAGAGCCTGGGTACCAGGGGCAGACTGTCCAGTGGAAGCTGGAGTGAAGAGCTGAAGTTTGGAGCCTGGGAGGGGGCGCCTTAGAGGGGGCCAACCTGCGGGAAGGTGCTGGATAAGAGGACCTCCCCTGCCACACATTTTCTAGGGAGGACATCCTGTGTAGCCAGGAAAAAGCCAGCCCAGCAAAAGGCCGAAGACAGCCACCAACCCACCAAGCTGACAGGAAAGGACAGTGTGATTACTCTTGCACCCCCTGGGCCGGATAAGGGAGGAGGACAGTCAGGTGGGAAACCCAACTAGCTCCTCATCCGGGACTGGTGTTCTAAATTGTAGCTTCCCTTGCCTAGGGATACCCTCAAGGCAGCTGGGTGAAGAGGAGGAATCATCCAGGGTCTGAGGAGGTACATGGAAGGGGCTTTAGCGCCCCTTAAAGAGAAACTGATGCTAGTCACATTTTTGTACATAGTTGCTAAGGAGTTTGTCCTCAAGTTCTACAGTACATCAGGCATCCCATGTACCCCTATACCCCATCTAAGTTCTAATCCCTCAATAAAATCACAAAATGAAGTTTAAGGACTGTTTTACTGACTGCAGAGTGCAAAATGTGAAAAATATATGTTGCCTCAGTGACTCCTAAGGGGGCAGTGCTACACACATACACTGTGCAATCTGATTTTACATTCTCCTTTGGATCTACTACTAATGGATTGGTGTGTTTGGATTTATTTTCATAATGCATGGTGTTGGTGGAACTAGGAAGATTGTCGAGGGATTTTGCAATCGGATTGTATAGTGTATAGCTTGGGCTATACACCAGGGGTATATTTACCACAAAGCAAACAAGGCATTTGCCTAGGGTGGCATTTTTCAGGGGGGGCAGCACTGCCCCTTGGAAGAAGGGACGAAAGAAGGGTCACACATGGCATGGGGCCCCGGTGGGTTCTGAGATATGCTGTGGGTGTCATGACGGTGTATGCACAGCCGACTCTCATTCCTGGGGATGTCTGGGATGTCTGTGAAGCTGGGGATGAGCTGTGAAGGTGAGTGTCTTTCTCTCGCCATGGGGGATGGTGGCTGGTGTATGGTGTATGGGGGGCAGTGGTAGTGGAAGGCTCGGGTGGAAGGCAGGGGTGCTCTTGGTCAATGTCAGGCTCTTTCTGCTTGGGGGGGGGGGTGCCAATTTTTGTGTTGCCTAGGGCAGCACAAAACCTAAATACACCACTGCTGTACACATATTGATTTTATATACATTTTATTTTTATATTTATTCTAACTAGGTCCATATTTTATCTTCCCAGAGTCTTTATATATGAATGTTTTACATGGTATATATGTATTCAGTATTCAGTATTTATACACATCATATGACTACTCTAAATGAGTACTAATGTCCAAGTCATTTATGGTTGTCTTCTGATGAAAAATTATCACCTGTTAGGGCCAGCAGGTACACTAGGCCTGTTCTCCCGTGGAGTCCACTTATTTCAATATATAAGATTAAAGGGGAAAAGTAGCTGTTTAATGGAGGGTAAGGGATATTTGTTCAGCGGTACCTGACTTTTTGATTTTTAACATTCAATACTTTTGACTTTTGGTTATTTGGATGAAACAACGAAAAGGGGATACTATATCAATACTGTATTGTTATTGGGATCTCCTTATGTTTTTTCTAGCCTTGTGGAAGGGGGCAGGTTTGGACACCCAAAATGCAATAGCTAATTTTTCAATTGTTCCTTTGACTTTTATTGGAATAAAGTTGTGTCTGGACACGGGCCAAATATCAGCTGAAATCCGCCAGTACAATAGATACCAGCCAACATTGGGCCCATGTGTATGGGTCCTTGTTTGGCAGAAGCCAATCTCTTGGCCAGCTTCTGTTGAACAAGCTTACTGGAAAGCCAGCAGTCAGTCGGCATCCAATCAGCGAGCTTACCGTGTCTTCCAGGCTTTAGCAGTGGTTTGGCACTTCGATTTACATTTTTCTTACAATACACTAAAAGCCTGGAAAATTGTGGAGGTCCTCTGAGGTGTAGAGGCTACGTGCCCCAGGAATCAGATCACCTACAATAAGTCAACATCAATACCTTAAGACAAGATTAGAAAAGTCAGCAATGGCATCTCCTATATTTCTGACATCACAGGTACCCTTTAACTTCCACTATTAATGTCCTTTGGATTACAGGCCTTTTGTCACATCTCTGATTTGTTGCGGCTGGCACTTTGCTGAATTTTAAGCTGTTATCATTATGCTTGTTAGTAGGGAGCCATATACACATCCAGGGGGGCAAAATTAAACAATTTCAATGTTTAAGAATTTTCCATTTTACAAAAGGACTTCTGTTTACAGTTGTTAAATTCAGGATGGATATTTACCCAAGTTTTCTCGGCTTCCTCTTGCTCCCTTGATAGTCTAGAGTTCCCTGCGGGAAGGACCAAGAACACGCTTTGAGAAGCTAAGCAGGGAGTCGTTAATTTTTAATTCAAAGTGATTTTGTGTTGAATGCAAGCAGATGCTGATAATATCACAAGTCAAAGCATAATTTTTTTGATCAAAGGGCTCAAGTGAGCCTGATGAAGCATGCATGTTGGTTTTCTTTGATAAACCACATCAATTATTCACCGTGAAAGGAGACATCCTGATATGAAAGCAACTGATAAAGGGCAGAGGCACATGTTCAGCCAGCGCTGTGTTAAGAGAGGGGATGGAGAGATGGGCTGCTACGATAGAGGAAAGAAGGAAAGGTTGAAGAGATCTGAAATGGAGTGAGAGCAAAAAACAGGCTCATACATGGGAAGATTTTATGTTCTCATTCACACCATCCCAAAGTGCAACAGCATTGGCCATCCATAAAATGGTCCAATGTGTTCAATGTTATGCTCATGTTATTATATTATCAAATGCACAACAATAGAAGCAGTCATATATGAACTACATAGTTCATGTCAATGTGGCTCTTGTAAAAAAAACAAAACATTTGATATCTGTTGGCTATGAGTGCTGGGAAGGCCCTGATTACAACCAAAGAAAGTCTTTGTTGACCAACAATGAGCATGTGGACATAATTCATTTGCATGATTATCTGTTAAATTATCTTAGGGAGCCATATTAGAGATTTTAAAAAGGTGTGACAGATTCATTTTGAAAAATCTCTGAGCAAAGGTCAATAAATCTCCTTTGTAACCATCTATTCACCATTTGTGAGCCACTTTAAAATATATTCTTCATCTGCCATGATGAAACATTTGGTTCTGTTTTGCGGGGATTTTCACTTTAGGGTCCAACTGAAGTCACAGAAATAATTATTCTGATATATACCTTGTGGTAACTCTATTTTCATACATTAATAGTACTTTCTTGTTAAAAGCAGTTTAAACAGCATGACTAAAAAAAGTGTGTCTGTGCAGTTCAATAAGCACAAGAGTTTGACCTGGTGCCGTCTGCAATCTAACAGACCTGGTCAGACATGTCTCCCACTTCCTCTGTAAGATGAATCTGGATAGGGACTCTTGTGCTGAGGAGTGTGGCTGTTATTCAGCATAGGGCCCTGAACTGGCTTGTTGTTCACCATGAAACACTGCAGTGGGTTGTTATCCAACATAGAGCACTGGAGTAGGCTGTTATTTAGCATAGAGCACTGCAGTGGGCTGTTATTCAGCATAGGGCCCTGAAGTGGGCTGTTATTCAACATAGAGCACTGGAGTAGGCTGTTATTTAGCATAGAGCACTGCAGTGGGCTGTTAATCAGCATAGGGTCCTGAAGTGGGCTGTGTTTAAGCATAAAGCACTGCAGTGCACTGCTATTCAGCATAGAGCACTGGAGCAGGCTGCTTTTCAGCATGAAGCACTGCAATGGACTGCTATTCAGCATAGAGCACTGGAGTGGTCTGGTATTCAGCATAGAGCACTGCAGTGGGCAGATATTCAGCATAGAGAACTAGAGTTGGAGTACAGACTGTACATTTCCACTGCAAGTAAAAGGTATTTAAATCATTTTTAAGCAACAATAAGTTAAACATAATAACATGCAGTAGTACAGAACTATGAAAAAAAAAAAAGATGTGAGTTTTAAGTTGGGCTTTAACAGGCAGAGCTCTCAACTGGCATCATTGTGATGAAAGAAATGGCTATGCAGAGGCAGCCTTAGATTAGATCTATCAGTAAGTGGATTGTCAAGATGTCACATACATTCCCCTGGCTAACCATATACTGTATGCAGGGGCGGACTGACTATTTGGAAACTCGGGCAGTGCCCGAGAGCCTGGGGTCAGTAGGGGGCCCCATGAGATGCCCCTGGTACCTTTTTCATAGGCTTTTTTGAGTTTGGGCAAGGACACAGGGGCCCCATGATCCCCTATTGCCCGGGGGCCCCATGAGTTGTCAGTCCGCCCCTGACTGTATGCTATACATATCAAATAAGTAGGATGAAACTATGTTTGTGCAATGATCTCATCTACACATGTATGTCATTTTCATTCATCCATTTACAAGCAACTTACAATATAGTAATTAGACAAATGTAGCAAACACCAGTTAGGCTATATTCACACATGGTCAAGTCAGTTAAAGCATGCATTGGTTGGTTTCAAACCTGGATTTAGCATTCTACTGTTTAGGTGATAGGCTACGTTTAAGGCCACAAAAAACGATGTAGCAGGGAAGCTACCAACAGAATCAGGTATACAGTATGTCTAATTTAATTCTGATTGCCTCTCTTGTAGAAAAGGATTGCACTAGGTTTTCATGTACAGTATTTTCTACCTCTGCACTGAAATTCTCTGGAGACAGCTTTGACAGTTATGAGATGATCCAAAATAAAATTTAAATTAAAACTGAACTCCAGGATAAGCAAATATTGTCTAAAGTCTTGTGTACTCCTTCTTGCATGTTAGTGTGCTTTGGGAATTTCTTCTAGATCTGTGCAGTAATCCAGTGTGAGATGTTGCTTCTGTGCAGGACCTTCCTATAATTAGTCACTCTTGCTCTCTCTCCTTGTGCAGGGTGACTGGTCTTGTATCCGCCCCCTCCAATGATTTTCTGCAGGCAGCCTGTAGTGGGTGGAGCCTGCTGGGTCCTTCCCACAGCTCTTCTCTTTGCACAAGCTACATGAAGCAAAGTGCTGATGTCACTGCTACATTCAAAAGATAATAATTTGTGTTTTTCAAAGGTGTTTAGTGCATGGAAGGTGGATTTATATCCTTTTTGCCTATAAAAAATGTATTTTGATTATGTTTTTTGATTCCCGGAGTTCTTCTTTAAAACATACAATTAGGGGTCAGGGCAATATTTTACATTTCCACAGTGCTATTTAAAACACAAGGAAAGAAACGCTGTCTCCTAATGTAATCTCTTAATAAATCTTTCCCACTCCTCTAGCTCTGCACTGTCTTATTATGTGGCAAGATTGATGGATGTCCCACACTATTCCAGGATTCGGAAGCTAAACAAAGTATGTGTGAACAATTAATCCTAAATTCACAGCAGAAGCAATTAAATATTTATCTTTAATGTGATATTAAACTTCATAAACAAAATCAAATATACTGCAGTTTACAAATCCTTAAAATTCTGGATGCATTAGTTTTCTTTTTTTGGAGGCTTTTATTCATTTATTTTTACATAGTGATTGGCCAGTAACACACTTCCTGTGTTAGGGTTTCTCCACTCTAGATGGAGGAGCATTGGAGACAGCAGCATTGTCAATTTGCGTAGAAGGGAGAGAGTAGTGTTAGATTAGCAGTTTTAGATCGACTTGTTTTTTCTTTTCTTAGATAGAGGCTAAGTAGCAGCCTGGGGGTGAGCCAGCCTGGGAGTGAGGTAGTGAGGTTATCTCAGGACAGGCTGGTAGGCTCTAACAGGTCAGGGCTTCTGGAGCCATCCCACCTTTCCAGAAATAGCTTTATGGAGCAGGGGAGAGGAGGGGAGGAGGCCCAGATCTGCATGTTTGTGGAATCCTGGCCAATCCCCTGGCAGGAGGCTGGGCATGGCGACCAAGGCAACCCTCAAATATCAGAGAGCCTGGGGAATAGTGTGTAGAGTCGGGGGAAGATGGACTCAGGAAGGCTGAAGTGAGGATCCTGGGAGGGGGCCCCAGGGAGGGGAGCCTACCTACAGGCAGGTCGCTGGAGAAGAGGATCTCCACTGTCTCAACGTCTCCTGGGGAGGACAACAGGGAGCAGGAAGCAAGGAAAGAGCCAGCCTAGCATAAGGCCTGAAGGCAACCGCCAACCCACTACGCTAACAGGAGAGAATAGTGTGAGTATTATTACACCCCCCTGGGCTAGATGAAGGAAGAGGGCGGTCAGGTGCAAGACCCAACTAGCTGCTCACCTGGGACTGTTCAACTGACAGCTTCTGAGTCCCCTTGCCTAGAGAATACGCTCAGTGCAGCTGGGTGAAGTGGAGGAATCATCCAGGAGCAGGGAAGGTACACTGAAGGGCTTTAGTGCTTCTTAAAGAGAGAATGTTGCTAAACCACATTTTGTACATAGTTACTGAGAAGTTTGTCCTCGAGTTCTACAGTTCCTTGGGCATCCCATATACCCCTAGACCCCATCCAAGTTGTTAACCTCTTAAAAAAACCCACTAAAGAACCAGCTCAAGGACTGTTTTACTGGCTCTGAGAGCACATATGTGGAAAATGCATGTTGCCTGGCCATGCAAAGCTTAGGGGGAATCCAATCTAATCCAGTGGCCCTTAGGAGGGTAGTGCTAAACTTGACTAACAAATTAAAGGCAAACTCCAACTAACACTTTTTAAGCAGATACATATACAGTTTTGTTCCTTTTGGGCAAAAATGTTTTACATAAATGAATGAAAACTGATCATAGTAAGCACCCCTATCAGTAGTAAATGGTTTGTCCCAACCCTCTAACTGCCACTTTTGCTGGACTGATTGGTCTATTAAAGGAAGTTAAAAAATAACAAACTGGCATGATCGCTAGGTGAAAATAAAGGAAAAAGCCTAATGATTGGTAATCTGATGTACATACAATTTTAGCTTTTGAGTTTAATACCGTCCACCTACCAGAAGACCTGCTCTGGGTTTACATTAGAAGGCTGGAAGGCTGCTGAGTCACTGTTGGGAGAGGGAAGCAAGATGAGCTGAGCTGCTGAGAAAACAATTTAAACAAACTTGAGTGCTTCTGCTGGGAAGATTGGGAACAAATTGCTCCACAGTGCTCGCAGACACAGAGTTCAGTGTAGACTTGTTTTAAAGCTCGTTGTTAGAAATATGTAAGAACTTAAATTTCAAAAGCATGGCCACAAATTCACGTTAATGTAGGGTTGGACACCTTTGGGTACCTGTTGTACAACATAAACATCATTGGAAAGCAAACAAAAAAGCTAAATCAGCTTGTTTAAAAGAGCTGTATTGTTCCCTGAGCATTTCACAAACTGCCAGTTCAAACTCTGTGATTCACTTCTCCCCATCTAGGCTTAGTCATTATGGGAAATTGTTTGGAGAGGTTCATAGTTTTATTTAAAGCTGACCTACAGGTTGATAAAAAAAATCACCAATTAATGCAGGTGCTGTATATATTTATAGTGTAAGTATCTAAATTAGCCAGGGGCGGACTGACCATTTAGCCACTCAGGCACTGCCCGAGGGCCCGGGGTCAGTAGGGGGCCCCATGAGATGCCCCTGGTACCTTTCATAGGCCTTTTTGGGTGTGGTTTGAGTGTGGGTGAGGACACAGGGGCCCCATGATTTCCTATTGCCCGGGGGCCCCATGAGTTGTCAGTCCGCCCATGAAATCAGCCTGCTATAATCACCTGTACCAGACTGGGACAAAGTGAAGCCAAAACTCGTCAGCTTTCAGGTTCTGCTGCATGCATGTGTGCTGACACTAAACATGTTGATACAAGAGAAGAGTGAGTAGAAGGATGAGCTCATCAGACTGCTGTTGCTCTATCACTGTCCAATTTCAGGCTTGGGGCAGGTTGGTAAACAACTTATATGGCTCATGTACACTGCAGCTCCTAAACTGACGTTCAGGAGCTGTTGAGCGTTTTTTTCAGCAGCACCTGAACTCTGCCTAATGTTTTCCTATGTGTTTATGTACACATAGTCGTTTATAGTCATTTACAGGCAGTTGAGTTTCCAGTTGTTTTTTTGAATGCACCAAACTTGCATTCAGGAGTAGATTTTACTGGCGTTTCAAACACCAAACACTTGTAAACGCGTGTAAACACTTGTAAACGCGGTTAACCGCGTTTAAAAGCGTTTGCGTTTAGAAGCGTTTTTTAACTGTTCCATGTCCAGATGCTGTCCAGAGCCTTTTTTCAACATCGAAAATGCATGCAAAGCGTTTTCCATGTATTCAAATGGGCCCGGTACACCAGCGCAGTCAGCTCCAGGTTTTGCGTGAAGGAAAAAGTGGTAGAACGTGCTGCATTATGCTCATGATGGGATCCATAGTGAATACAACCAGAAAAGACAGGTCATCTCAACACATACTGCTCTCTCTGCTTCTGCTCTCTCTATTCCTATCAAAATGTCTGAAATAGTTATTTTTTGTTTACTATTTTTCAGTGCATTCTGGGCATTTGGGAAGGTCTCCTGAGGTTATCTTTTAAAAACCTATATATTTAAAAAATGGACCGCGCTAAGGTCACAAATAGACAAAATAAACTTTGCAGTCTTTAAAGTGATAGCGCTGAGCAAAATACAAATACAATATTAATATTCAGTCCCAACATGTGAATAATTGGTTCAATGGTGCTGTATCTTTAACGATGATACTCGATATTGAAATGACAAGTGCTTCACTGTATTCACACTGGTGCCCCACATAGATGTAAACTCACTGTCATTTCATGGCCACCTATCTCTAGGTAAGTCACACTCGCTTTTTGGGGACTTAGCACGGTCCATTTTTGAAATATATAAGAGTTTGTGTTTAGGAATTCACATTCAGGACTGCTGCTATATAGGTATCTTATATATAGTTAAATTCTTTCACATATATGTTAATTAATTTTTTTCCTAAGCACAACAGCACCCTCTTTTTTCCTACAAAAATATCTTTTAAAAATGCTTCTAAACACAAACGCACATAAACGTGCATAAACGTGGTATGCAAACGCGGCTAAACTGACTTTTTTTAGCAGTTAGTTTCCATCGTTCAGAAGAGTTTTCCAAACGCCCCGTGTACATGAGTCCATACTGTTAACTGCAGTAAAAGTCAGGTTACTAACCTTGCTATGTTGTCTGTGTAAAATGCAGAATTGGCTGGGCAAAATTAAAAAGTAAATCTGCTTTCATAAATCACAGCATATTGGAGTTAATTTACTATAGGCAAATAGTCCATGTACTTTGCAAGTGCAAATGCACTCTGCAAAGGCATTTGCTCCTTGGCTTAGTAAATGAGAAGAAGCTTTACTTTGCAAAGAATACCCATTCACATAAAAGGAAAATGGAAAAAAAAAACAGCATTTTCGCTTGCACATGATTGGATGATGGAAGTCAGCAGAGCTTCTCCTCATTTACTAAGCTCTGCAGCAACTGCACTTGCAAAGTGCACATTCTATTTGCCTTTAGTAAATTAACCCCATACTCTACTACGACTAAGTAGAAAGCTATTGTTTGGAGTTCAGTTTTAATAAAATTGAGCAATTATTAAACAAAACCTTGTAGAACAATGGTGGTGTAAGAATTAATGTGTAGCTATAGAAAGAAGCACATCTGTGACAATGACACACATTTTTTCATTTCTCCACAGCTGGACTGAACTCACATTAATGTGGTTATAGTACATGCTGTCCTCAGGGCTGTTCAGAGTTTTGGGCTGTTGACAGCGTCTTCTTGTCCTCAACTTCCTCTCAATAAATATTTCTGAACCTGTCACAGAGAAATAGCTTCATCATTCAGAGGAAATTATATTTCAATAATATCTGTTATCTTCAATTGTTACAGGTAATAAGAGCCACTTACAGAACGATATTTCAAAATTAAACAATACGCTCGCATGATAGACACTGTCACTTCAAGAAATTGGAGTTATTTTAAAATGAACCTGTCATATACCTGGGCTACAGAAACAGAAGAATATAATAATATAGAAGTGGAGGATACCATCAGTGATCAGTCAACTGTATGTCAAAATGATCAACAAAGAACCATAGACAGAGTTAGGTCCATTTACAATAAAATCTTTTGTATAAACCTACCTAACCATTTATCTACCAGAGTCATTTTTTTCATACAATAAAGTGCACAATTTAGGCCTGAAGATTAGTTAAAACCCCAAACATGATATCTTTTCTGAAAGCAGAGACCCTGGAGAATAATATGGTTACATGATATTAGCTCACTAGCTATCAAACACATATTATCACTATCATTAGCTTATCAAACACATATTTTCAGTAAAAAATACACTATTTATTTTTTTTATTTATTACAGGTACTTATATAGTGCCGTCAATTTACACAGCACTTACATATATATTGGCAGCACTTACATATATATTGTACATTCACATCAGTCCTTAACCCTCAATGGGCGTACAATCTAAGGTACACTAACTTTAATTTTAGTGCACACAAGCACAATATATTACCCCATTTGTTGGTAAAATATAAAAGATAAGGCTGAGTTGAGTAAATATATATCAAACATGTCAAGGCTTAAAACTTGCACACGCTTGTGAAACAGCAACACATTTTGGTACTCAATATAGGCATAGGCAATGGTTTAAAAGCCTTTGCAGGTTATTAGTTCAGGGGTAATCTTGAAAGATGGCCTTAGAATTATTCATCTCACTTCAGAGGTTGGTGATGGCTAATATGGATAATGCAATTGTTGTATTTATACGTAGGTGTACCTGACACATACATATTTGTACATACGGGTGTGTACATAGGGACGGGGGACTTTTTTTCTTTTACATCTAATTTTATTAATATGACACAGGGGGCTGAAAATGGAAATTATCCTCTTTAACATCAGGGTCTGTTAAACCCCTAATATCACCTATGGACCCCAATGAAGCTGCTTCTTAAAGTGGAACTGCACTGCGTCTGAGCATCACAAACCACAAATGCTATTTAATTACTTTTAATATTCAAAGCAAACTCTCCCATCTATCCATGTCTCTATGTTTTATTTTAATGAGAAATCATTATGAAAAACACCCCCTGGCATTAATGGCAGTGCAGTGGCCATTTATTTGATAGAGGGGAGATCCAAAAACAGATCTTTGCCGATTTCTCTCCACTCCACCAGGCATGCCTGTCTTGGACCCACAGAAATATGAAAATTTTTAAAAATACATTTTCAAATATACTGTCTTTCAAAATACATTTAATATACATTATTGGAATGCACTTACAAATATATGTAAAAATATGTTAACATAACTTTTTTGTATATGTTAGAAAAAAAATCTGAAGAATATATTTAAAATATATATATTTTTTTATACATTTTGTAATATATAAAAAACGCAGTTCAACATGCAATATATATATATATTCCGCCTGGCAGTACTAGGGTCGTTGGTTCGAATCCCAGCCACAGCACCTCCTGCCTGGAGTTTGCATGTTCTCTCTGTGCCTGTGTGGGTTTCCTCTAGGTACTCCGGTTTCCTCCCACACTCCAAAGACATGCTGGTAGGTTAACTGGATCCTGTCTAAATTGGCCCTTGTATATGAATGTGAGTTAGGGACCTTAGATTGTATGCTCCTTGAGGGTTAGGGATTGATGTGAATGTACAATATATATGTAAAGCACTGCGTAAATTGTCGACGCTATTTAAGTACCTGAAATATATATATATATATATATATATATATATATATATGTATTGAAATATATTTTTAAATATATTGAATATGGCTAAAATTGTAGAATTTCAGATATATGTCAATATATTTGGGAAGAATATTTTAAAAATATATTTCAAATACATTTTTCTTCCATGTGGGAGTTGAAGCTGTTTGGTGAATCGTAGGCATCTACTGCTTGTGAAGACACCTACGCTGTTTTTTTTTTTCAATATTAAAGTGTATGGTTTAGCAAAATAAAAAATAGATATTCATTACATCTCTGCAACACATGAACATTTCTTTGTGACTTTTTCAGTTAAAGTACAGAAAAATACTATACTTGTTCATCTGCCAGAATTTCAGTTTTCTGCACAGTGTATTTACTGAACTGAAATCCCAAGCGGAGTTGTCAGTCCTGCCTGCTGGACTACAGTACGCCCCCCCCCTCTGTATCCAACTTGAATGCACACAGATATATTTTCCATCAAAACAATGCTACTGCCTTGGCTCCCAGCAGCCTGCTCCCACACTGCTGAAGATGTAGTTCTGGTGGGGGCTACATTATTAGGACTTCATTTCCCAGCAGCTGCCCCTGCAAGAATTTTACAAGAGCGGTGATGAAGGCATATGGGGTAATCTTGGTACAGGAAGCAGGTAAAAGAAACAACTATGCTCTCTCCCTATACTAGCCATTCACAGAGAAGCATGCCAAAATCCAGGTGCTTATAAAGGACTTATAAAGACCTTGCTGACCCAAGATGGACGTCAGGGGTCACATGGTCACAGCATAGCCAACCAAAATGCTGCTCCATCAAACAAGCTCTTTTACTGGAGCAGGAACTTCTGATTTTAATAATTGCGTACCACATTCTGCCGGAAAAGCATCCAGTCTTGTTTGAACTGCATTACTTTCATTTGTAAATGATGTCATGATTCTGAAAGATGAGGCCTTTATGTGTTACTAAAGTATTTAATGTACCATTAACAAGGGATAAATAATTGTTTTAAGATGAAAGTGACAATGAAGTAAGCATCTATAATATAATTTCTATCCAATTAAAAAGATAAGAACAGCCATTACGCACAGATACAAGAGGGAGGATCAGGAGATTTAACTTTGTAGCCCTCGTGATTGTTGGAAATGCATTTTAGATTCTCTATACCATAATTCACTGTGGATTTACCTAAAATGGCACTACTAAAAACCGTGTGTACATATTATAAAATGTATATACACAGGATGGATGTTAGAATGTCAGTTGCAACAGCTGAATGACATAGTCACCTCTCCCAATAATCCCTCTTCATTCAATATGCACACCCCCCTTAAAGCATAACAGCTCACGAGGCACCAGTTATCTCTGCTTATCACTGCCATATCAGTAGAGATGAAAAGAAAATCATACAAAAATTTCCATGAAAAGAAAACCATAGAAAAAGTTCCACCTTGTCTGATCACCTACAACACAACTTCCATTATGATAAGCCAACTACCATAAACAATGGCTAATGTAAAGCAATCATCTGTAGGATGGAATAATATCTTTCCATGTATGTCCAACTTGTTGGTTATGTAAGCACAATCTGACCTCACTGTAAATATTTCATACTTAAAGTGTTACTAAACCCACAACAGTAAATCAGTCTGTATATGCAGTAAAGTATACTTGTTATACTCACTGTGGAACCTGAGCCCTGGTTCACACTGATGCGTTGCGGAATTTCAGCATTTTCTGTGCGAATTCCGCACCGCATCAGATTCACACCCCGTTCATACGAACCGATGTGGGTGTGTATGTTAAGTTAACAACACCCCGACATCGGTCTGCAAAACGCAGTGCGATGTGCAGAATCGGATCGCATAGGTGTGAATACTCCTGCGATCCGATTCCAGTGCAGACCAAAAAAGGGTCCTGCACATTTTTGGTGCGGAGGCGGTGCGAATAGAGTCATACAAAATGTATGGCTCCGATCGCACCGCATACAAATCGCATGTGATTTGTACAGGAATGCGGTGCGAATCACATGGGATTTACCACATCACTGTAGTGTGAACCTAGGCTAAGGGATTCATTCTCTGCATTGTGTAAAAAGTCTGTTTGATCCTTGTATAGGGATCACTATGATCCTTACTGAGCCACACATACAGTATATGACATTATAAGATGGCTGTATATTCAAATTTTGTCTCATCAGAAATTTTTTTATAACTTCATATATTTCACAGTGTTCATTGCAAAACACGTCTTGACTGGAATTGTGCCATTAGGCGTGTGTGATGTGTTAGGAGGGGTATAGTGTCTGCTTTGGTCCTTCCAACGTGATCTGTTTCTATTTGATAAGAAGGGCTATATAAGCAGAGAAGGATTCTATGAAAGACGCGATACAGGGAGGACAGAGACTGTATTCCCCATATACGAATATGCAATAATAAATATAATTTGAAGCCTTATCTCGTCTGAAGATAATTACTCAAGCTTCCTGTAGCCTCCCTGACGGTGTTCCCGAGTGTAGCTCGGGGTAGAGTTTCAGCACCAAAAGCGGTAACCCCGAGCTACACTTGGGCTTACCATGCGGCGCTGCTCCAGCATCTGTTCTTCACTTACCTTGTCCTGCGCTCCCGCGATGTCCCTCCTGCAGTGTCCAAGGCAATGTCCTCCGGCGGAAGCCGGCATCTGTCATCTGGGTTCCATTCCCTGCGAGCGTTGGGACGTACGGGGGGACGGAGTGGCGGGAAATTTGAAAATGACAAAAAGTGACATTCACTAAATACACTAAAATCACATAGTAAAACATTACTGTATCAAACCATTTCACATACATTTTGTCCCGAGTGCTTTGTCCTGCGCCCTGCCTGCATTTTTACTGTTCTTTCTGCCTGGAAACTGAGAAAAGTTCATGATGTCCAAAAAGCGCCCCTTTAGGTCAAAATCGGTTTTAGACCAGCTAGAGAACAGCGATAGTAAATTAGAACTACTTGCAGAATTGAGTGATAATGATTTGTGGGGAAAGTCGTCATCAGACACTGAAAACGATTTTGCGACTTTGCTCTGTGATGTGTGAACTTGGCGCTATATTTCAAATTTCAGTGTTTTTGGTTTGATTATATTATTGAATTAAATTTATTATTATTATATTATTATTTTTTAGGATTATTTATTAAATTATAATTTATGATTTCGTGTTTCAAATTTTATCATACCCGGAATGTTTACTAGACTCTTGTTCGGACAGCTTTCAGTGAGTTATTCCTAAAAATTACAGACCTACAATAAAAAAAATACATATTTCCATGCAAAAAATGTACCACTTTGAGCACAGAAATATGGACATAATCAGACCGCTAGGGAGGTTAAAATAGAGGAACTTGCGCAGGAGGTACTATCCTCCCTATACATCATGTATTCTCTGATCCTCCTCTTCTTCTTTCACAGTCCTCAATGCATCTGCTGATAGTACAAAGCCCTAGGAGACCCTCTGCACATGCTCTGTTTGGTGTGAATTGCTAGTTGTTGTTTTTTTTTTGGGAGGGTGCATTTGATTGACACAGGACCAATCAGCACTGTCCTGAAAGAGGGTTTTGGGTCATGCAGCCTCAAAGGACAAACAGAGGTGAATGAAAACTTCTCCTACAAAATTAACCAGTGCTCGGGCTGACATTGGCAGAAGTCACAAGACTGCTATATACTGCTGATGAGAAAAGGTATTTAGCAATTTATATTTACTAAAATAATTGCATTTCCATGTTCTGTGTACTGTGGAAGACAGATAGCGAATGCAGGGTCCTGGGTATAGTAACACTTTAAATTAGATCTAAATACTAGCTGGGTGATTGACATTAGTTTGCTCAAGCCCTGTGTATCAAAAACAACTTTCGTTTTATTCATAAACGTGTGTTTCCACTTTCTTTCCATTTTTTTTGCAGCTCAGTGCTGCTGATCTATTTCAGCCACTTTCAGCCACTTCCTGTGTACATGTACTGACTCCATGGGCCAATAGACATCAATGCTCTGAACCTGCTTTTTTATGGACAACAATTATGGACCATGCCTGCGCAATGCACAGGGAAGCATATGGCAGGGTTACAACACAGGAGCACGATTGGGAGACAAGGCAATTTGGTATCACAAGTATTATTTTGAAAAAAGTTGATTTAAAAAGATTGAAAACAAACACATGGGGTGGATTTACTAAAGGCAAATAGACTGTGCATTTTGCAAGTCCAGTTGAACTTATTTTTCACTTTGTAAAGAACACCCAATCTGGTGCAAGGAAAATAAAAAAACAGCATTTTCACTTGCACACAATTGGATGCTGGAAATCAGCAATGCTTTATCGCATTTACTAAACTCTGAGGGAAATGAGGGCAACTGCACTTGCAAACTTCACAGTCTATTTGCCTTTTAATAAATCCATCCTTATGTGTATCTCTAGCCAAAGCTTTAGTTTTGGATAGAGTGTGGAGAGGTCAAAACCTGTGTCAGGAATAGACATGTATGATTTGTTTCATTACAAATTGAAATTTGAGTGATTCTGAGATTCGAATTTATCCAAATCTCTGAATCGCAATAAGAACGAATTACAAATAGCCCAAAATAAACTATAACAAAAACAACAAATTAATTTGTTTCATTTAGATGACATGATGAGATAGCTTGGGCTTTTTGTTAATGTTTGAAGCATCCAAAATAACATAACAACATAGCGAATGATCCAAATTGATTTGGAGCCATTCTCTTTTATGCTAGTGAGCATAGCGTGAATATTCTAATAAGATTCTTCTTATATTGGGGTTGAACTTGAGAAGTCATTCTTTTAATTTGTATGTGTGCGGCACAACAAAGTAGGTTGGTAATGGGGAAATGAATTCAACTTAATAACATCATGAATAAATAATACTGTATGTATTAAAGTGGTAGTAAACCCACATTTTGATTTTTACTTACAGGTAAGCTTTTAACAAAGCTTACCTTTTGGTAAAATAAATATCTCCTATACGTTTACCGTTTAAAATATATTCTAGCAAGCATCAGCCTGTGACGTCACCTGTGCATGTGTTCCTTCAGAGCTGTGTGCCATAGTTGAAACTTCTGCGTGCATATGCGAGAGTGACGTCATCGAACCCAGAAGGAAGACCAGGTAAAGAAGGAAGCCTCTGCAGCAATGACACCGCTGGAGGGCTTGATTTCAAGGTAAGTCTTTCATAATGTAGGGGCGTCCGATCCATTATGCTCCCCAATCCACGGATCCGATCAATCTTGCGGGGATCGTCGGCTTTTAACCTATACGGGGTTAACTGATCTTGTAACACGGTGGGGGGTACGGTGGGGACACAGGGAGGGGAAGAGCCAGGCTATGTGTGCACAACAGGGACCGCCCACCTCTCGTGGGGTGACACCACGTGTTACCGCAGATCCGATCCATCTTGTGGGGATCGTCAGCTTGCTGTAAAACTTTTTGGTGTCACCCCCGTGAGATAGGTGTCACCTAGTGTGGGGCGCACCCCCCGCACCCACCTAGGGACACCATTACATTACATTACATCGAGTTTATATAGCACCAAAGGGTTTGCTCAGCGCTGTACAATAGAGGGAGGAACAATACATGAAACAGTACAGCAACTACAAACAGCACACGAGGGGGTTAGAGGGCCCTACTCTTTCGAGTTTGGAAGTCTAGGAGGGGCACTGTCATAATGTGCTAGTATGCATATGCGGTGCATACTAGCACATTATGATATTACCTTTTTTAACCAAAAGAATACTACCGCTTTAATTGGGATTCATTTGCTTTATTTGGATGAGAGTGGCGTGGAAGTCTTTGACTCTTGGATAATCAGCCGACTCTTTATTTTTCATTAATATAAAAAATGCACTACATATGAAATGGAATAATATATTTTTGACTATTGATGTGTTTTATCCTACTGTCACAGTAACGTGTGCTCTTAGGCACACACTTATTGGCAAAATGTGCTTCTCTGTCTGGTTTTCTGATGGACATGTCTGAGTTTGGCGGTTGCCAGGAGAACGGTAGTTGCCTGACTGACTGTGCCAAGTGTAAAGTTTGGTGGAGGGGGGATTATGGTGTGGGGTTGTTTTTCAGGGGTTGGGCTTGGCCCCTTAGTTCCAGTGAAGGGAACTCATAAGGTGTCAGCATGCCAAGACATTTTGCACAATTTCATGCTCCCAACTTTGTGGGAACAGTTTGGGGATGGTCCCTTCCTGTTCCAACATGACTGCACACCAGTGCACAAAGTAAGGTCCATAAAGACATGGATGAAGGAATTTGGGGTGGAGGAACTTGACCTGCCTGCACAGAGTCCTGACCTCAACCCGATAGAACACCTTTGGGATGAACTAGAGCGGAGATTGCGAGGTCTTCTCGTCTGACGTCAGTCCCCTGACCTCACAAATGCTCTTCTGGAAGAATGGTCCAACATTCCCATAGACACACTCCTAAACATTGTGGACAGCCTTCCCAGAACAGTTAAAGCTGTTATCATTGCAAAGGGTGGGCCACCTCAATATTGAACCCTACAGACTAAGACTGGGATGCCATTAAAGTTCATGTGCGTGTAAAGGCAGGTGTCCCAATACTTTTGGCAATATAGTGTAAATATGCCCCTTTCCAGATGATAAAAGACAGCAAACATGTTGCATTTGTAAAACAAGCAAATTGCTAATCCCACTTCTAAATTCTGTAGACCTTCTAAGATTTGCAAATGGCCAATTTGTAAATGAAAGCAGAGACTTGAGACTGTCAGCAATTATGAGTGTTCACTTAACCTAATGTGTGGAACAGAATGTGGATTTGTCACTTGGTTGTACTCTACAACTATTTATCTACTCTGCTCATGTACAAAACGGCTGCTCGACATTAAAAAAAAATAAAAATTGGAAACCCTAACTGAATGGCAATCAGTTCCCTAAGGCACTGTGGGGGAGATTTACTAAAACTGGAACACACATAATCTGGTGCAGCTCTGCATAGAAACCAATCAGCTTTCAGGTTTTATTGTAAAAGCTCAATTGAATAAGCTGAAGTTAGAAGCAGATTGATTTGTATGCACAGCGGCACCAGATTCTTGGTGCTCCTGTTTTAGTAAATCTTCCCTTGTGTATCATAAACAACTGTCTTTTTTAATATCAAAAAATACTTAATTTCACTTTTTTTCATCTCTTTTGTGCATTTTAGTGCTGGTAATTTAGTGCAGCCTCTTTGTAGGCACTCCCTGCCTACAAGCATGCACTCCAGCAATGACTTTTCGTTGTCCATGTCAACAGCAAGAGAAGGTGCTGCAAAAAAGACCCTCCCAGTCTGCAGAGGAGAAAGATTAGGAATTGGACCTGATTTGTCATGTGAAAGCCATTTCAGGTAAGTATTTGAGAGCTTTAGTTAATCCAATTCTGTCAAATTGTTGTTTGTAAATGACAGCCTCGAGCTATAACACTCCCCACCCCCCCTTTATAATTACTCAATATAATGGTCTAAGAATCTTTATTAAATAGGTGGCTTACACTGCAGGGTTGTGCAAAGGTACCAACGGTCCAGGCAGGAGGCCACCACATGGTCATATACAGGGGCGGACTGACAACTCATGGGGCCCCTGGGCAATAGGGGATCATGGGGCCCCTGTGTCCTTCCCACACTCAAAAAAGCCTATAAAAAAGGTACCAGGGGCATTTCATGGGGCCCCCTAATGCCCGAGTGCCCGAGTGCTCGAATGGTCAGTCCGCCCCTGGTCATATAATCTCATCCAAGTGTGGGGGCCCTCTGGGTGCTCAGGAAGATAACTAAATGTCTGTATATGTACCTCACCTTCTGATGCCTGTTATTTCACCTTTTTTTTAACTGAATGGTTATCGTGTATCCCTTATACAGCAACATGGAAATAGATAGTTTATTTTAATTTGGATATAGTATTAATATTCTTATTTATCTATAGCATGCAGTTTTCATTATGTTCTCATTACTTTTGATCTTAATTCTTTATATTATGTTAGCCAGCAGTGGCTCCCTGCAGAAAGTTTTATACTATGTGTGATTAGTGCTAGAGGCAAGAACAAATCGGAAACTGTTTTAAATTGGATCTCAGCACTGAAACAAGTTAATTAGCAACATTTTACCACAATGATATGTATACATGAGTAACATATTTTATAAAAAAGTATTGCATTTGTTAGATATATATGCAGTGGGGACAGAGCAACTGTTGCATCCAGGGGCGGACTGACAACTCATGGGGCCCTCAGGCAATAGAAAATCATGGGGCCCCTGTGTGCTTGCCCACACTTAAACCACACCCAAAAAAGCCTATGAAAGGTACCAGGGGCATCTCATGGTGCCCCCTAATGACCCCGGTTCCTCGGACAGTGCCCGAGTGGCTAAATGGTCAGTCCGCCCCTGGTTGTATCTCACCAATATTGGCCCAACTGTAGCAGGAACCTGGAAAATTCCAGAGCTCCAGACACCATGAACATGCTGCAATTGCAGTACCATTTGTATTAAAGCGGAGCTCCACCAAAAAGAGGAAGTTCTGATTTAAGGACTGCTCTCTCGCTCCCAATTAGGGATTGGCACCTTTGGGGGGCGGGGGGGGAGCAGGTACCCAAATTTGACAGGTACCCACTCCCACTTCCGGTCCGATCGCCTAGGCAATCGGAAACGGAAGGTGTCCTCCCTCCCTGTAGTCTTTTGGGACACGTGACAGGTCTCAGAAAACTACATGACCATTCATGAAGCCCAGCGCTACTCGCGCATGCGCAGTAGGCACCCGGCTGTGAAGCCACAAGCAGTCACAATCGGGTGCCCACACTGAAGATGCCGGCCTCCAGGAATACAGGACGGCCGGTGAAACACCGCAGGACTGAGGGACAGGTAAAGTGGCTGTTTTTTAAAAGTCAGCAGCTACAGTTTTTGTAGCTGCTGACTTTTATTTTTTGACAGGGTGAGTGGAACTCCGCTTTAAGCATTATACAAGAGAAAACGTAGAGTTGTCGATCATTGTAACTAATCAAGTTTTATCTTTCAAGGAAAAACAGTCACCTACCTCCTGTGAAGAAGCACCCACACTTTCTCTGTATTGTTTTTTTTTTTACAAATTAGTGTTCCAAAGTCATAGGGGACACTTATGATATCAAAAGGGAAGTTTCAACAAGGACCTCCACCTCCATAGACCTGACACAGACTGCTATGCAAGTGGGTCTGCCACTGATGTGAGTATGTACATTTTATTTCCCTACATTCTTCTACAAGAGATATTGTTACACTTATTGACTTGTCAATGGCTAGAAAGTTAGGCTACAGACATGAAATAATTGTCACCTTATATAGTCAGTTGTCTATAAGCCTTATCTTCTTCTTATCATAATATCTGTATCTAGCCTTAAAGTGTTACTAAACCCACAACAGTAAAATCAGTCTGTATATGCAGTAAAGCATGCTTGTTATACTCACTGCGCAGCTTAAGGGGTTAATCCTCTGCATTGTGTAAAAAGGCTGTTTGATCCTGACTCCTCTGATCCTCCCCTTATTCTACTATCCCCAATCCATCTGCTGATAGTACAAAGCCCTAGGAGACATTCTGAACATGCTCAGTTTAGTGTGTATTGCTAGAGAGTTTTTTCTTTCTTTGGGAGAGTTCATGTGATCAGCACAGGGCCAATCAGCACTGTCCAGACCAGGGGCGGACTGACCATTTGGAAACTCGGGGGCACTGCCCGAGGGCCCAGGGTCAGTAGGGGGCCCCATGAGATGCCCCTGATACCTTTTTCATAGGCTTTTTTGAGTTTGGGCAAGGACACAGGGGCCCCATGATCCCCTATTGCCCGGGGGCCCCATGAGTTGTCAGTCCGCCCCTGGTCCAGACAGAGGGTCAGGGGTTATGCAGCCTCACAGAACAGTCAGAGAATACTGAATACTTCTCATACAAGCTTTAACCAGTGCTCAGCTGGACATTGATAGAAGTCACAAGACTGCTATATACTGCTGAAGAGAAAAGATATCTAACAGTTTATATTTACTAAAATAATTGCATTTCCATGTTCTGTGTACTGTGGTAGACCAGATATAGTGAATGCCAGTCCCTGGGTTTAGTAACACTTTAAGTGAGCCATAGATGATGCAGTTTTCTTTCCTGTACTACAGGTTGCAGGAAAGAAAATTGCATGATTCCCCTATCAAGACAGTCAGTGATCAATGGATCAATGGATAGACTTCAGTACAACCAGCCTGCCCAAATATGGATCGAATCTCATCCGGTCCTCACTGAACGGGCTACCATTTGATCCATCTATGGCTGGATTTACACCTAACCAGAGGCTATTTACAGAATTCTGAACACTTTTCTGATTACCATTACAAGATCAATTTACAAATTGCTTATCTTGTAACTGGTGGGGCTGCCTTTGCAGAAAAACAGATAGGGGGTGATTTACTAAAGGCAAATAGACTATGCACTTTGTCAGATCAGTTGCTCTCATTTTCCCCCAGAGCTTAGTGAATATGGTGAAGCTTCCCTTTGTAATGAATATTTAATCAGGTGTAAGGAAAATTAAACAATTTTGCTGCACTTGATTGGATGATAGAAAATCAGCAGACCTTTACCACATTCACCAAGTTGTGAGGCAAATGAGTGCAACTGCCTATTTGCCTTTACTAAATCAACCCCATAGTATAACAAAAAATGCTGTCCGTAGCAAAACCGCTGTTTCATTAAGAAAGGTGATTAGTCTGTTCCATTTCTGGTGATAACAATCACATACCAATACGCAATAACTGTGTAGCAGCACTAATGGTATACCCCTATAGGCAAAATGGCACAGTGTCACACAAATTACTAGAAATTAGCTTTGGCTTCAGCTCAACTGTGAGCTTGACCCAAAACCAGGAGCAGACTGACTACTCATGGGGCCCCCGGCAATAGGGGATCATGGGGCCCCTGTGTCCTTGCCCAAACTCAGAAAAGCCTATGAAAAAGGTACCACCTGTTTGCAGTTCAGCGAAAGGCCAACAAACTGGTCATATTTGGCCTATTCACCCACTTTTTTCCCAGCTGCTGTTTTTAAACAAACCAGTTGGGAATCACAAACAATATCATTGACAATATACTGTATGATCAATGAAGTCCCTAGGATCCCCAGCGCTGTAATTTACATCCCAGCAGCGCCAAGAATTCTGTCATTTGGTACTGTATTGTAGTCATGCATCAGGTCGTAGTGATGGTGGGGCAACATGTTCATGCAGCAGGCCATCGTGTTGATCGCTGCTGGATTTACATACATGGACAACATGATTGACAATGGATTTACATCCAGAGACATGTCTAGAAAAGGGTCTGGTATGAGTTTTAAGGGTTGTTCCACAACTTCATGTTCAGTTTTAAGACACCCCCAAGCACGCAATGTAAAGGATTTTTAATGTAGAGTTTATCTTCAATGTTGCTCTTTAACCACTAGCCTACAGGGCACTTATACCCCCTTCCTGCCCAGCGTGACAGCTCGAGAGTAGAGAAATGCCGATAACCGGCATTTCCCTGTTTACATGTGATCAGCTGTGATTGGACACAGTTGATCACATGACCGAGCCGACATCTTCGGTTCTTTCCATGATCGGTGATCCCCTGTGTCCGAGGGACGCAGAGCACCGCCGATCGCCGCACTGCGCGCTCCCTGAGCCGCGTATGCGCAGTGAGAATGGCAGGACGTCATATGACATCCTATCAGAACGAGAGAACCACCTTGCGTCCATCATTGGACTATATGGTGGGCGGGAGGTGGTTAAGCTGCATTAAAAGACCCTCTGCTAAATGTATTTATTTTTTGTTTGTTTACATTGGTACATGTCCTCCATGGTACTGCCCTTTTATAACAAAATCATTTAAATTAGCACTGAAAAAGCTCTAAATAATACAAGATTCGCCTCCCAAAGACATCAATAGGACTCAGTGCTATGTTAAGGCTCCATGTACACTGCAGCTGCTAAACTCACGTTTAGGAGCTTTTCTGCATTTTTTCAGCAGCCCCTGAACTCTCCCTAATGTTTTCCTATGTGTTTATGTCAGGGCTTAAAATTTCGAGTCTAGACCTACTAGCCAGGCACAAACCTTACTCTCCACCAGTTGCCCCACCCAACCTTGCCCAGGTCCGCCTCCAACCCCACCCCTGGCCTGTCCCCCCAACCCCGCCCCCAGCCCTGCCCCCCCCAACCACGCCCCCTTAAAGTTTATGAAATTACATTTTTCTTTAGAATAAAGACTCCAAAATATAAAAAAAACTGCAATTATAACATAGCTTTATTATGTCAATTTAAACATAACAGCAATAGCTTAATAGCAATAGGGTGCAATCAAAATATCAAGTTTTACAGCTTTAAACCTGTAGTAAACATTTTGTATTTTTTTTTTTTATCTCCTGCATCTTTAAAAAGAGTAAATAGTTAATAGTAACTCGATTTGATGCACTAGAGGTCAGAGAATTAAGGTAACGTTCTTAAAAATGAGGAATTTTCATCAAAATTTTACTAGTGTATGGCCAGATTGGGTCTCCTGTGGCTTATTAAGGGAGCAAAAAATCCTGAGTCTCCCCCTCCCCTCCAATCTCAGCAAGCTGCAGTGAACAACCGACACAACCAATTGCCATGGAGGCCAATCCATTAACTCAATTGCCGTCCGATTTGGTAGTTCTGAGCTGGGCCCGATGGGTTCCGAATAATACTTTTATTACTAAATATGAAAACAAAAGAATAGAGGGAAATTTCCAGGGTGTTCTATGTGTACAATAATGGACGGCACCGGTCATGTCTGGGACATGGCACTCTGAAGAAAGCCGGAGCTGGGAGACAGCCTGACCAGCACTGACTGTGATACGAGCAGCAAGAGGATAGAAATGAAGATCCTTTAGAATCCATAGGACTCATGTCTGAACTTCTAGGGGTGCTGTCACCCCCGAGCACAGGTCACCCCCAGGATCTCACCCTCCATGTACTGTGAGCGCCCCATACTGAGCCCAGGAATGGTAACTTTCATCTCAACGACCTGAAATCCTAATGCGTGACCGATCGAGATGTCCCGGCCCCTACTGCACATGCGCGGGATCTTGGGGTCATGCATGTGCAGTAGGGACCAAGAAAATCCTGATCCAACTGCGCATGCACGGGATCGCAGGTGCAGCCGCTCTTGCCGCTCGCCACACAGGAATTTCTCCTCGCATTTGCCGAGCGGCTTTTTCAAGCCCTGGTCTATGTACACATAGTCATTTATAGTCATTTACAGGCAGTTGAGTTTACAGTCATTTTTTTGAACGCACCAAACTTGCGTTCAGGAGTAGATTTTATCAGTGTTTCAAACGGCAAACGCTTGCAAATGTGTGTAAACGTGGCTAAGCGTGGCTAACCGCGTTTATAAGCGTTTTCCGTTGGAAATTTTTTTTAACTCTTCCACTTCCAGATGCTGTCTAGAGCCTTTTTTTATCATGAAAAATTCATGCAAAGCGTTTTCCCGGTACTCAAACGGACCTGGTACACCATACTTTGAGGTTTCGCATGAAAGAAAATATGTTAGACACTGCTGCAATAATTTCTGCACAGAGATGAGCTGGAACACATCCAAACACCACAAAACAAAAGACTAATCTCAACAAATACTGCTCTCTCTGCTTCTGCTCTCTCTATTTCTCTTAAAATGTCGGAAAAAGTTAATTTTTTACTGTTTTTCAGTGCATTCTGGGCATTTGGGAAGATCTTCTGAGGTTATCTTTAAAAAACGCTTCTAAACACAAACGCTCATAAACGCGGTGTGCAAACGTGGCTAAAGAGATGTTTTTTAATCTATGTTTTCCAGCAGTCAGTTTCCATCGTTCAGAAGTGTTTTCCAAACATCCCGTGTACATGGAGCCTAAGGGTTTATGGACTTCCCGCCAGGTTCATCAAATGTCAAGTGAACCAAGCTTTGCAGAATTTGCTCATCCCTACCAATTACCATTGTTCTTCTATTTCATTTAGAAGTTGACTAAGTTATTAACATAATTTCATCAGAAATATAGTAAACTATGACTTAAAGCAAGCTAAATATTCATGTCTGAATTGAAAGTAGCACTGCAGGGCATGTGATAACCAGGAATGACCTCAGGTGTGTTCAGATCCTAGTCTGCCAGGAAGCTGTCACTGTACATAAACAACAGAGGCATTCCCTGCCCAGCAGCATGATAGGCCCAGTACTGGTGACATCTTCCTGAACGAGGTTCCGAATGCACAAAAACTCATCACTAAACTCCAGAGAGCACAACAATGGGCCTGGTAGAAATGGTGATGGATGTTCTCTGCTATGTGTGCAATGACCTCAAAATACAGGCATTGAATATTGCATCAAAATTGTATTACAATTCTGGAAGATTGTGTATTTATTGTACCTGTACTTCTGCAAGATCCAAAAGAATTTGAATACCGATTGTTTGCAACAACTTCTGAATCATTCATATCAGTCACTATGTTTGGACAAACATCCGAATCCTTAAAACAGATGCAAGAAAAAACAAACAAATATAGATGGTTATTTGAAAAAAAAAAAAAAAAGGCAGATTGTAAGAAGGACATCGTTAATATTTATTGTTCTAAAGTGGCCATTTTACCGTTTTAAACAATGGATTTTAATGGATGTATTTAAGGTGCTTTAACTTATACATATAGTATAGAAACAATATTATAACAGACTATATATAGATAGATAGATAGATAGATAGATAGATAGATAGATAGATAGATAGTGCTCAGCATAAATGAGTACATTTCTCAGAAAACCTTTACTTTCATTTTGAGAATCAACATTTTCTATGGGACACTATACTACAAAATACTCCCGCAAATGCCGACCATTGATTGCAAACAAGATTTGTTAATTTTCACACACAAAAAAGTATTTTTCCTAACAAATTCATTCAAGACCATGTCAATAACCAAATGAATACACCCCAATGAAAGTCTGAGGAGCAAAGCTAAATTTTAGACAACAAAATCCTAATTAACAAGAATTCAACTACAGGTGAGTCTAATTATTCATTGAAAAGGTGTCCAGCAGACAGTTGATTATAAAAAGGGCGATACTTAGCAAAGAAAACCCCTTTCCATTTCATGCTGTCAGCAATGGCACCACATGGAAGAGAAATGTCAAAAGGCCTGAGAAAGAAAATAATTTCTTTACACAAGAAAGGTGAAGGCTACAAGAAGATCAGCAAAGCTTTACTTATCAGTCAGAATACTGTAGCAAAAGTGATACAAAAATTTAACAAAGATGGAACTGCAACCATCTCACACAGACATCCAGGCCGTCCATGGAAGTTAACACCGCAACAAGAGCATCTTCTGATGAGAAGGGTTGAAGAAAATCATTATGCAAGTTCACTGCAGTTGCTAAAGAAGTAGAAAACCAAACTGGGGTGATGGTTTCCCTTGACACAATATGGCGTACACTGCAGAGGAATAGCATGCATGGTGTCATCCACGAAGGAAGCCTCTCCTAAAGCTTACGCACAAAAACGCACTTTTCAACATGCTGTATTTGTATGTGCCTACAGATTAAAGTGAAATTTCAATTTGACACATAAAATGTACATGGTGTATTCATTTTCATAATCTAAATGATAAAACCTGAAGATTTTTCACATGGAAAAAAGTAAGTACACCCCCTACATCTATCTCAACTTCATATCCATAAAATTAGATTCTGGTATCCCAGATTAGGTGCCAATCATTAGGGAGTATACAGGTGGATACTGTCTTATTTAACCCCTTCACACCTAAGGGTAAAACAAATCTTAACTGCTTCCCAACCGTGCTTTAGCTGAAAGACGGCTACAGCGCGGTTGTCCAGTTTTTTTCTATTATCAAAGGAAAACTGGCCCAAATAGTAAAAAAAAATCATTTTTTTTTAAATTTCTGTGTGTATCTTGTTGCTACCATAACCTACCACCAAAGAACAACCCAAAATAAATTTTCCAGCTCTTAACGATCGGAGAGATACCATATATGTGTATGTTATTTGTTGTTTGTACCCACAGTACAGCCCAGAAACAATAGTGCCCATTTTTTTTTCTGTTTGCCTAAAACACACTGACACTGACACTTATTGACACTGATACCAATTATAAAAAAAAAAGTCCTAACCTTTGACCCAAACACTAAGCCTGGCACTGAACTAGATCAAACCTCGATCTGGGTATTTTTTCTTTATTTTTTAATAAACAGTTGTTTTTTTTTCTCTATACAAGGAGAGAGAGAGAGAGAGAGAGAGAGAGAGAGAGAGAGAGAGAGAGAGAGAGAGAGAGAGAGAGAGAGATACATTGTATCTCTCTCTCTCTCATTCAGAGAGAAAAAAAAAACAAGGAAGGCAGGCTTCACAGTGACTGATCACTGTGATAGCCAATCAGAGGCTATCACTGCGATCATGTGACCCAAAAATTGGGAGTCCCAGGTTCCGACCATTAGAACGAGACCCAGGGCTCTCAGTGACACCCCGGTCTTTGTACTGGGAGCTCGCTGTGTGGCACTCTCCCAGCACAAATACAGGTATGCAAATATGCGGCCCCACAGAAAAAAGCCCAGTTCTGTGAGGCCGCATATTTGTGTGACGTCGGCGTCAAGGAGTTAAACCCCAGATATCTAGGGTCTGTTCTCTTTGTTGTTGGCACATGTAGTATCATCATGCCAAGCTCAAGGGAGCTCTTTAAAGACCTCAGAAAAAAAATGTGGATGTCTATGAGTCTGCCAATGCATTTAAAAAGATTGTCAAATTATTTCAAATCAATCATTCCACTGTAAGAAAAATAATTTATAAGTGGAGTAGATTTTAAACAACTGTTAATTTTTCCAGAAATGGTCAACCGACCAAATTTAACCCAAGAGCTAACAGTTTGATGCTAAGATAAATCTCCAAGAACACCAAAATGTATTTGTGGGGTGTTCAGGTAACTCTTGCAACAGT